GTCATGCACACTTTAATTGAAGATGAAAATTTAAAGAAATCTAGGCCCAATGCATGCATGGTAATAGAGTATGAAAGGAAATATCGAGAGGATAGAAGACTTTTTTTGGACAAAGCGATATTCTAATTGTTCTAATGTGTAAAGAGAGAAGAGGGATTGAATTCGGGTGCAATGCGCAATGAGAGGCACAACACAAGGTATTTATTTGTGGAGATAAAGTAAAGACTTTAAATTTTCATGTGGGCCTGGCCAAATAGTGAATCACTTTCAGCTTTGGGCAAGCATATAGATTGGAGCTTGGCTCTTTTCTTTACAACGCAAGTGATTGGGCCAGATAAGACTTGGCACGGAAGTCAAAAGTCTGCAAAACCCTACCTCCCAAATTCCCAATACCAGCCCAAACAAGATAGTTGTATTATTTGATTGATCATTCATTAGGACAAATCGTGCTATGTGTCAATCAACGACTAATCGTCCAAAGCGAGCTCAACATTCCTTCTTGTAGGACAACTTTTGTTATTGGAAGAAGTTATAATTGATATGTCTAGTTTGATTATCAACATATGATTGCACTCTTGTTTGTATTTTAGTTCATCGAGTTGTGCATAATAGGGGCTACCTACTTGAAGAACGTGTCAAGGCCAAGACAGTCTAAAAAGGAAAAATTATTATTTTCACTTAAACAAATCAATTTTAGGTGCATAATCATGAGTACCCTTCGTACCGAAGAGAAATTCCGTTATGCCGAATGTAATGTTCTTTTCTTTTTATCTCTCTTCTCATGTGATTACCGATAATATTCACTTGTGACCCGCAAATTTGTTCTTTTCTCTCTATTTCTCTCCTCATGTGATTACTGACAATAATCACCCGTGACATGCAGGCGTTTCTCCTCAACACCGTTCTAGTACTACTACTGTGGTTTCACAAGTACCGACCCAAACTCTGTGGGAGTCAAAGTCTCCTATATTTGGATTTCATACCACGCTTTTAACTGCTGACTTTGTTATAAAGCGAAAATCAGCCACACATTCCGATCCCAATACCAATTTTTGAAAACTTTGATGATGATGATGATGTTAATTCGTTTGCTTTCGGTATATTTGATGGTGACGGTGACCCAAAAGTTTTATATTTTCCCTAAAGGTATATGACAATGACCAAAAGGGCAAGGTTTTGTGAAAAAGCCAGAGACCAGTGATTAATTTGTCAAAGGGCTCACAGTTTTGATGCATTTTCTTCCATGAACATGTGAATCCTTATCTCTCCATAGATTCTTTTTAATCTGGTCCATTCCGTATCTCTGCATATTCAAATATAACATGAATGCATGATTGATGATTGTGTTGGGATATAAGTCTATAATTGACTCTCTTTTTTTTAGTGTTTATCTGAATCATGCTGGCAAATATTTTTGAATTCTGATCTCTAGATCCTACTCTTCCAGAGAAGAAGCTTCCACCGGGAAATCATGAAAATAAACTAATTGGGTTGACTGTCGGAAAATAAAAACCGATAATCAAATTTAAACTCGTCATTTTTTCTTCATTAGATTGTTTTACCACTCTACACTGTCACATGAAAATAAACAACCTAGCAATCATTTTTCTTCTTCTTCTATCCACTCTCTTACTTTTCTTACCGAATATATTGTCTAGAAAAGAACAAGATAATTTCTTAATAATATGGGATTAACTGTTGTATTATATATAATATATCTCTCTATCTATCATAGTGATTTCATTTCCAAGGTGACCAATGTATTAGCAACATAGAAAAAGTATCATTGGTTTGGTAATAGTTTGCTTTGGGCCTTTAGTCAACTTGTTCTTTTGGTCAACTTTATTACCCCAAAAAACGATAATCATTGTCTTAGGGAGGGGTGTTTAATTAGCATGCCTAATACGCATGGATTAATTGATTAATGACCCCAAAAATACAGAGAGAAAATGACACTTTGGATAGCTAGAGGAAGCATCATATATTACATTATTATATATAGTCTCGTTGGAAACGCGATTCTATTTTTTTTTTTTATCTTCCAACCAATACATATAAACTATTACACATATAATATGTTGTAGGGTTTATAAATTCTTACAGATAAAATTGAATTGAATAAACAATCTAAAGCGAAGATTCAGTTGCGACTAAATAAGATCTGCACTTTGTTGTCTCTATCACTAGAATGATTTACCTTTGGACGAAGAATGAAGTATTTACACCTTGTAATATCACATTAATAAGACGTCTGATTTTACCGTTACATGCAATAATTCTATGGATCATTCCATGTATTGGCATAAGTTCACAAGCATTCAAACCCTGAGCATGTCTTGCGTCTTCATCAAAGTCAAGTTTGGGAGATTCGTCTTCTATTCTTTTCTTTCACATGCCTTTCTTTTTTCAGAGTCTCATCACAATTGTCTTGTGAAGTCACCAAATCATGCTAGTTTGGTGTATTTACATCATGCCATTGATGTTAGTTTTGGCCATGTATTACAGGTTCATGAGTTGATGGTTAGGTATTTAAATGAGAGATCGATAGTGTATATTGCGTGTGGGCATGTGACACTAACTTTTATCGTTGGCACATTAATAAGTCTCACATACATTAATTTTGAAAATACATTTGAGTATTGTAGTACAAAAGGCATCATAATTTGAATAAAAACGTGTTAATCACGCACAATTAACACTTGCATAGTTTGTTATAGGGGTGGGTACGGTCCGGTTCTCACTGCAAACTAGAACTAGAATTATTCATCTGGTATGGTTCGGATCCGATTTGGATGAAAAAATCATGCAATTTGATTTGCCTATAAGTCGGTTCGGTTTCCGATTTTCGAGTCCCATTTTCGACTGGAAATGTTTTTTGAGTGAATAATTATTTTTTTACATAACCAACTAAAATTTTATTTTTTGGACTTAAAAACCACAAATGGCCCAATTTCATGCAAAATGAGGTGATTGAGCTTAGAAAATGTGATTTGGATTTGGGCTTGAGAAAAGATTAGTTATGAGTTTAGAAATTTAGCATTGAGGCTAAATATTTTATTAAAAAAATAAAAAATACATGCCCGGTCCAATTTTTTCGCTACAAGAATTGGAATCGAAATCAGACCAAACCGATCCAATCCAATTTTTGGTCAACTCAGTCCGATTTGTAATCAACCCTGTTTTTTCTGTTTTTTTTTTTAGTTTAATTCGACTCGGTTTTCGATTTAAATGCCCAGGCCTCGTTTGCCATGTCATAGGATCATAGTTTTATAAGAGCATTTCCAGCAAGGGGCCTTGGGGGAGGGCTAGGGGGGGGCTGGGGGAAAATGGTGTTTCCAGCAACACAAATCTGCCAGGGCAAGGTGTGGGCCCCAGCAAAAAAAATTTGCCTGGGCTGGCCCTTGGGGAGGTCCAGCCCGAGTAGCAAAACTCGTTTTGGGCTGACGTCAACCATTCGATCAGCTTTTTAAACATATCCAACGACAGCCATTTTTTCGCGAATAAAAAAATCGGAAAAAGCAAGCCCCAACGACTCTGTGCCACGTGGAAGCTTCTGAGCTTTCCGATTTTTTTTTTCCAGTCATCCAACGGCAGAGAATTTTTTGCCCAATAAAAAAATGAAAAAAAATACCAAAAAAATACTGAAATTGTTTTCTATAAATACCAACCAATACTCTTCACTTTTAACATCAACAACCAATATTTTTGTAATAAAAAATTGAAAAAAACCAAAAAATTACTTTTTTTTTCTTCTCTCTATACCTTATTTCCATTTTCAACATTTAAGTAAATGTCTTTGTCCTTTTACTTTTATTTATTTTTATATTACTCCATTTACTTAAGTTTACAATGTAAATAAGGAAGTACCCCCTATTTGGATTCAAATAAAAATACTAGAAAATCAAATTCCCACCAAATCAAAATATGAAAA